AAACCTTGCCAACGCATGAACCTCCATAACGCTTCCTTTTCTACACTATCATAAGCAGCCTTCCAATCTAACGCCAATACACCTCCATCACCCAACTCCCCCCGTTTCTCTATAAATTCTCGAATCATGCCATGCCCTTCATACATCGACCTTCCTGGCACCCCATATTGCCCCCTATCAATTACCTTGCCTATTACCCTCTTGATTCTGTTCCCTAATATTCTCGCAAACACTTATAATCTCCACACATAAGCGAAAGTGCCCGATAATCCATTACCGTTGACTGCTCCCCTTTCGGCACCAACACCACAACGGCCGTCCGTTGCTGCTCTCCCATTACCTCAGCTGCCTTAAGTATGTTAAACAGCCTTACTAAAAAACCCCTCAGAACCCCCCAATTCTTTACGTAGAAATCATTTGGCAGTCCGTCTATACCCGGCGCCTTTCCCAAGCTCACTCCTGACAACGCCTGCCAAATCTCAAAACTCCGTAATCGGCCCACCTAATGTCACCCGATCTTGACCATCAAGCTCACACTGCACATACTCTCCCATTTCCCTCAATGCCACCTCACGGAAGCCCACGCTTTGCATATATGACTTAAACCAAGCGTCTACATATTCACTCATACCCTCTGTCGTTACCAATGCTTGACCCACTCTATACCCTTCCATCCCTACATGTACGTTTAACCCCATCATCTCCATCGTCACTCTCCTCTTTCTCTGGCCTCTTAACACGAAAGCCGACGGCCGATCACCCCATAGCACTTCTTCCAATCCTCCCATAATTCGTACACCATCAAAACGCTCGTTTTGCAATACCCTAATACTCTCCTTTAAACCCTCAATGTCCTGCACTGGATAGCTTGCTCCTCCTCTTGCATAACAGTCACGCAGCTGCCCTTCAAGATATCTTTGAAACCCATACTTTAACCGATTATATTCCCTCCCACGACAAATATAATATTCTCTGATACGATTTTTAGCCACCGAATCCCACCAATTTACCAGTTCATCATCCCCCGGTGCCTCATCCACCAACCGTTCCCACAATTGTGCAAAAGACTGACGACATTCCTCACCCTGCAAAAGCTTCATATTTAACTTCCAATAACCTTGACCCCTTCTAGGCAATCCCTCCCATTCTAGGTCCACCATTACTCCTCTGTGATACGAAAAAACCGCGTCCACCACATGCACTCTGCTCACTATTACTGTTCGGGGCACATACAATCGATCCAGTCTAGCCGCATATCCATGTCTAACAAAAGTATGTTCTACAACCCCACCCCCTCCAACGTCCATTAACCCCACTCCATTTAATAATTCCCCCAAAATCCCCAAACAATACCCTGCCCCTCTAGGTTCCACATCCTTACGCCTTATCACACAATTCCAATCACCACCAATTACAGCTACACCCGGCAAAGCACGCAAATAATATACTAGGACATCCTTCACAAATTTATTCTTAATACTCACATCTCCCTCTGCCGGACCATACACACACACCAAACTCATCTGTACCCTACCCCACCACCATCTACATGAATCACCCTCCCCTCCCCACCCTCACAATGCCTCACTACGAACGGGCTAGTTTCCCTTACCAGGATGGCAACTCCTCCTTTCAACCTTATCGCATGCTCCACATACACATTATACCCATTCACCTTCAACTCATAACCTGGTCTGTAGTTGTGTTCCTGCACGAACACCACGTCAACACTATTACGCACCAAATATTCACTAAACCATACACACTTTCTCTCTGATCTCAATCCATTAATGTTCAATGTCATGCACTTGAAGCTTACAGAGTGGTTTTCCTTCTTGACCCTGGTACTGTCTTGCCACCAGATCGTTTCGTGACACCTCGGTCCCTCTCCCCCCCTTTAGAAACGCTCTTAACCAACTCCTGCCCCTTAGGGCCGCTGTGTCCTCTCTGCGTAACTTCCGCCCAGGACTTTTTGCCAGTGCGCTGAGCAGGCGTGATCACGTCCTCGGAGTCAGATAGCACAGCAGCGCGCTTCCATGATGCTCCCTCTGCTTGCATCATGTCGTCTGATACATTGTCCTGGTGGACCTCCACCTCCACCGCTTGCATCAAAATATTCTTATCACACTGCGCAGACCGCAGATCCTGTTCCACGCCCTGATCCACAGCAGACCCAAGAACTAGGTCTGGACTCCCAACCTTCCCTATACTCTTGTCAGCCAATAACACATTTAAAGCCATGGCTAATGAGTCTTCCACATCGCCATCACTCGCAGTCGGGGTGTTCTCTTCCAACACCTGAGCTGCGTTCAATGAAGGGTTGTCCCCCCCCCTCGTCACACCTGCTGACTCCATCTCCTCCGCTCTCTCGACCTGCTCACTCCAGGACCCACCTTGTGTAGGCAGAGTCACATAAGGCAAATCTTGCTCCTCGCCCTTCTCTACTGCTGTATGTCGTTGCCGTTGTTCCATGTTGCCACGCCTCCTTCCACATAGAGCCGCTAGGTGATCATATGACCCACACAACCGACAGGTCCGACGTTGCCCAGCGTATGTCACAAACACCTGGGTCCGAAATTCTGGCAGCACTAAGTACGACGGAATAGGGTAACGTAACGTCATCTTCACAGAATACGTTCCTTCGAGTATCCCTGCGTATGGCCCAGTAGCCCACTTCCCAACAGTGGCCATATGTACTGTACCATATTTGCCCATCGCAAGACGGATGTCAGAATCATCTGCCTTGAATGGCACATTTCTAATCTTAACCCATGTGTAATGGCGAGAAACGTCGTGAAGTCGCACGGTCACAGTGGAGTTAACTGTCAAGTAACCTCCTGGTACTTGTCTACCCACCGCCTCATACACACTTGCCAAATTAAACTTGACAAAGATCCTCGTCGTGCCATTCAGCGCTACTCCACATATCTCCTCGTTAGCAATACCATATGTATCTCGTATGATTGCAGGTAGTAGCAGGTCCATAGAAGTTCCTGTCACAGCCCCACGGATAAGCTCAACACAGACTGTGTTTATGCGTCTCCGGCTGGCCTGCGCCATGCTGTGAAAATATAACTGCCACTAATCAACGCCAGGGGCAGCAGCAGCGCACGTCCTCACTACTCAAAGGTTGAGTGATGAAATGAGTAGCTCGCCTGAAAACAGCAGAGGGGTGCAGAGCACAACCGCACTCTACCGTGGTCAGGCAGCAAATGAAGGGTTGAATTGTAATGTTAGTGGGATGAATTGTTTTGTCAGTGGGATGGATTGTAAAGGACCTGCCTAGTATGGGCCCACAGGCCTGCTGCAGTGTTCCTCCTTTCTTATGTTCTTATGTTAAGTAATTAATTTTGATATATATCAACAGTAGTGGTGTTGTGTTGGTGAATAATTGATGGAGAGAGCAGATTGTTGAAATGAGGTGTTGTGCAGGTGATGCTATGTTTGAGGCTGTACACTGGCCCGACTCCACCCAACAACATGCCTTCCAGGCCACTCCTTATTTCACTACCAGTTTGTTAAAGTGGAATGACAGATGTCTTCTATCAGACTCCATAGACTGCTATACTTGTGCATATATAACCACTGGAGAACTCTCGGACCATGCTCATCTGGAAATACGACCACCATTGTGCTGCCTCTGCCTCACTAGTATTCTGTGGTACTTCTCTACAGTGACAAAGACATTGGATATAATTTTGCGTATTTGATGTGCATCACAAATGAGTGACTACCACATATTTTGAAGATATGTTATAAAGGAAATGTATTAATGGCATGAGTTGCAGACATTGAACACAACTGCTAGTGCAACTGTTTGTCGTGTAGGTGGGGTGTTGCAGCCTATGAAATGGCACAATGAGTATATTTGTATATATTATATTTTCATATAATTTTATATTGCTGATATTTTCATTAATAACTAAAATGAAAATTTTGTTTTACATTATTATTGGACTTATTATTAGCTTAAGTATTTAGGTAGACTGTAACAACTGCACTTCTCATTGAGCTCGTTGCGCCCACCTTCCAGCACCCACCCTCCAACACCCACCCTCCAGCACCCACCCTCCAACACCCACCCAGCACCCACCCTCCAACACCCACCCTCCAGCACCCACCCACCAACACCCACCCTCCAGCACCCACCCTCCAACACCCAACCTCCAGCACCCACCCTCCAACACCCACCCTCCAACACCCACCCTCCAGCACCCACCCTCCAACACTCACCCTCCAACACCCACCCTCCAACACCCACCCTCCAGCACCCACCTTCCAACACCCACCCTCCAGCACCCACCCTCCACCACCCACCCTCCAACACCCACCCTCCAACACCACCCTCCAGCACCCACCCTCCAACACCCACCCTCCAACACCCACCCTCCAACACCCACCCTCCAACACCCACCCTCCAAACACACGCACCCTCCAACACGCACCCTCCAGCACCCACCCTCCAGCACCCACCCTCCAACCCACCATCCAACACCACCCTCCAGCACTCACCCTCCAGCACCCACCCTCCAACACCCACTCTCCAGCACCCACCCTCCAGCACCCACCCTCCAACACCCACCCTCCAACACCCACCCTCCAACACCCACCCTCCAGCACCCACCCTCCAGCATCCCCCTCCAGCACCCACCCTCCAGCACCCACCCTCCAGCACCCACCCTCCAGCACCCACCTTCCAACACCCACCCTCCAGCACCTACCCTCCAGCACCCACCCTCCTCTAGCACCCACCCTCCTCTAGCACCCATCCTCCAGCACTCACCCTCCTCCAGCATGCACCCTCCTCCAGCACCCACCCTCCAACACTCACCCTCCAGCACCCACCCTCCTCCAGCACCCACCCTCCAGCACCCACCCTCCAACACCCACCCTCCAACACCCACCCTCCAGCACCCACCCTCCTCCAGCACCCCACCTCCAACACCCACCATCCGACACCCATCCTCCAGCATCCACTCACCCATTCTTCTTATACTCCTGTGCTCCACTTTTCTCTATATCATACCAAAGTTCAGGGATACTCAGATGACAAGTTTATTTGAGAAATTTTATTAGACTTTTTTTTTATTACTACTGCTTACGTCCATCTAAAAACTATTTTTGATGTCAACATTTGGCGTTAAACTTTCTTTATTTTGGTCTAAACACCTGAGTTGGTTCTCTTTTCTTCAGGTGTACAAAAACCTTGGGGACTCAAAGTTCTGTGGCTTCTACGAACAGTTGAAACCCTCACTCATGGTGGCTGAGCCTGACTTAGTGAAGACTGTCTTGATCAGAGACTTCGACCACTTCGTTGACCGTCGAAGAGTCAAGTTTACTTCAGAGAGGGACGAGATCTTTAACCAGCTACTGAGCAGGGCGTCCGGAGACCACTGGAGGAGCCTCCGGTCCATACTCTCCCCTAACTTTACCACCGGCAGGATGAAGGGCATGTTTAACCTAGTGGCGTTGAAGGCTGATGCTCTGCTGGATTATATAAACAGAAAGCTGAAGACCCAGCAGATGATAACCTTGAAGAGGTGTTTTGGTCTGTACACCTTGGAGGTCATTTCCTCCTGCGCCTTCGGCATGGAAACCAACTCCTTGGCTGACGAGAATTCCGTCTTCAATACCATGACGGAAAATCTCTTCAAGCCGCCCACAACAGCTATGCGTATAAAGTACATCCTCTTTCGTATGTATCCTCAGTTCTGCGAAGCTCTGAAGATTAACTTCACACAACCAGAGATAGATTTCTTCAAGGAGGTGGTTCAAGAGGCCTTAGAGCAGAGGGAGAAGGGAGGGCATAGAGGTGACTTTCTTGACCTCATGATGGAAGCTAGAGACAATAACAAGAAAGAATCAGCCATCGGATCACTCAAGTATCGTAAGGCAATTTCAAGTTTATTGTCGTTATTATCATTCTTCAAGAAAGGTGCCTAGTGGTTGTTGAAGGGTTCCTGGTCTCAGAAACTGGACCTGATTTATTCTATCTTATATAGAATAACCCACATGCCTTTAGCTCATATTTTTTAATATAATCTTTTATAAAACTACATCCTTCTCTTTCCCACTCTTGCCTTTCTCTCACACACATATCCTTCCTCAGTCATATACTCTCTCATCTATTTTCCTGGATAAAGGATGTGGGTGATCAATATCTCCTCAGGATATCATTGAGTGGAATATCCCAAACTCTCTTCTCTCTCAACACACATCCTTAATGAAGATATCTGTTGTCAGTTTATTCGTCTCTAATTATATGAATGACTGTCTCAGTGCTTCCTCAAGAACTTCTTTAAGATGTCAGTATGAAACTGATCAGTAGTGCCCTTGATAAACGCCTTTCTCGTGTATTCTAACGTATATTTCTCCTCACTTGACTCCTCTCAGCTGTGACGAACAGTACAGTGGCAGCACAGTCAGTGCTGTTCCTCCTGGCTGGGTATGACACTACTGCCAACGCTCTCTGCTTCACTACGTTTCTGTTGGCCCAACACCCCGAGCAACAGCAGCGCCTGCGGCGGGAGTTGAAGGAACTCATCCTCAGGCATGACACATTCACCTATCAAGCCATAATGGATGCCAATTATCTGGACGCTTGTATTTCAGGTGAGTTGAAAGTGGCAAAGTTACTGTGTTTCAGGCGATCTGAAAATAATGAGGCTGCTGTGTATAGGGAAGTAGATAACGGTGAGATAGTTTAGCCGGAGCAGAGTGGTACCAAAGGGCAGTCAAGGTTGTCGTACATGAGAAACAAGAAACTAAAGTAAAAGAAAAAAAATGAATAGCTGGAAGGAGTATTGGGAGATAAATGAGAATATTATACAGTGTTACAGAGTCCTGAAGATTATCATTATTAGTGATAGTAAATATTATTTTTATTATGGTTATTATTATTGTTACATATTATCATGAATATTGTTATTTTATTATCATTAATTATTTTTAATATTTTATTTTTAATATAATTGTTACTATTATTATTAATTATTATTAAAGTACTATTCAACGGTTTAAGTTAAACCTGTAACGGTATTACAGCACCTGGGGGGGAGGGGAATATGAGATAATGAAATATCGGGATTGATTCGAAGAAGTGGAAGGGTTAGGTTTAATTCCTTTCATCAGTCCCCCTCCCTTCCTACCCCTTCCCCTCTCCCCCCTCCCCCCACTCCAGTATCAGGTTCTTCAAACATGAACCGCGTAAAGAGAGACCCGGCGTAGAGAATTTAATACGAGAATGTGTTTCAGAATCCTTGCGGCTGTATCCCCCCGGGACACTTCACAGAACGGCAGTGCACCAAGCAGTACAGGTGAGGCATAGTCGCGCTCTCTCTAATGGAGGAGTTTTTGCAATATTTGAAGACAAGTGGAGTGTAAACCTGGCAGTCACTGACCAAGACTCTCCTAAGTTCTCACTCGTTCACAAGTCTGGCGACTCTATGTTTGCTCAGAGTTGTTAGAGAAATTTCAACACTAAAATCTCGAACTTAGCAGAGGAACTCCGACGACGTTTCGGTCTTTCCTAGACCGTTGTCAGGTCACAACTGGACCGAGCTTTCGAATGTCGTCATGACATTCTTCTTCTAAGTGCAGTTTTCTAATTGTTTCAGCCACGGTATTGTGACCCTTTTTTTAATCCTCAAAAATTAAACACCTTTACGTAAATCCTCTAATATTCAACTTTCAGTTTATAGACGACATAGGATTAATTTCGAGTTTATTTGATTTATAAAAGACAGATGCAGCTTGGTGCCTATTTCAGACTACCTGGCACTGACGTGGTCGTCCCAAGGAGCACTATGGTATTTGTCCCCATCTGGAGTCTTCACCACGACCCCCGCTACTGGTCTCAGCCCAGCGCCTTCCTCCCAGACCGATTCTTGCCAGAAAACAGAGACAAGGTCGTGAGTGCTGCATACCTGCCCTTCGGTCTGGGTCCCAGGAACTGCATTGGTGAGCACTGGCTACAAAAAAATAAAAGTGGATATTTGCGTGTTAAAACTTCTTTCCATTTTTTCTGGAACGTCTGTAAATAAAATACACAAATAACCCTTACATAGGAGAATGAAGCTTATAACGACGTTTCGGTCCGACTTCCCTCATTAACTAGTAACGGTAACTAGTTAATAGTCCAAGTCGGACCGAATCGTCGCCATAAATTTCATTCTCCTATGTACGGGTTATTTGTGTATTGTTCCACTTACGGTATTGTGCCTTTTTATTCTTCAGACGGGAATACCCAGGTTATACACATGTGTCTTCTTCCTCATCTTGTCGGTAGTTTACAGTGACTGCTGTTTAAATTGTCTTCTTTCCCACAGGGATGCGCTTCGCCTTGATGGAAGCTAAGCTGGCACTAGCCAAGGTCTTCCTTGAGTTTGAAGTGAGTTGCGTTCCGGGTCAAGACCATCTGATTCTCAGTCAACAGTTGGGTCTGATGAGGCCCTCCAGTGACCTGAGCCTCGTCTTCACACCACTTGACAAACACTGAAGACAATTCTTGACTCAGTCAAACCTTCTTTCTTCTTGTTCCATTCTTCTTTTTCTTTGTCTTCTTCTTCTTAATTAAAGAAGGTAATACAGTGGGAGCAATTAGAAAAATCATAAGCGACGACACAGTTGCTCCCAGAGATGAGGTCACAGGTCAAGCACTAAGAGACAAGCACCCAACTAGGTAGACCAGAGTCGCTAACAACAACCCCGATGATCCCATCACTGGACAGTTAATTTTGCCAGAATCAGAAGTTTTAAATCGACAGTATTTCCAGCAGGATCTGCAAGAGGTTGCACTGGAATACGACCACAACACATCAAAGAGATGGCAAATCCAGTACTTGACACAGCTGCATCAGTTCTTCTTTCTGAATTAACAACCTTCATCATCCGTCTGGAGGGACGGATTTCTAAAGAAATTAAATCCTTTTTTTTTTTTTTTTTGGACCTCATTTGTGAAGGAGCCCAAACAGAATGACTTCAAAGTGTTAT